GAACGTCGGAGCAGCGTGTAGCGAAACTTATGGCATCGGGTGCCCGCGGCAAATCAAGCAGAGACACCCAGCCGGTCCCACTGCCCTCTGGAACCATCTGGGCCAGGGATCGGTTAGCTATGACAGCTATCACACGAAGAATCAGAAACACACATTTTTGCAGCATCGGGCCAAGGTTTCCAGTCATGCTAACTACACACCACGGAATTCTCTGAAATGAACTATACTCTATGCGATTCAAAACAACGTAAAGACATCGCTTCCCAGCCACAGCTCTTCTATATCTATCGAAGCGGAGTTTGGTCGGTTCTTGAATCGATCCATGAGGGCATTTCGGGGTCCAAGAAAGCGAAACACAGAAGAACTGCGCAAGGATCCTTAAGGGTATACAGTAGTATTACCAGTATTCATGCCTTTGCCGGAGGCTTTGCAGCTTCGTGTCTCCATGCACGGGCTCGTTCAGGCACTTTCACTCAGGTCGGAATAGAAGCACTGAAGTCACTTACCATGTTAAGAACACCTATAATCACGCGCCGAAACACCTGCAATTGTTCATGTGAGGTGTGTATAAGATATGTATACATATGTATAAACATATGTATAGCAGAGTTTTGTGTATACATATACACACAAGTTGTAAGCCTTTGGTTGCTGCGTGCTGCCGCTGGCTTGAAGCAACTTTGTGAGGCCAACGTCAAGAGAGCTGAGAAAAGCTCGGTCATAGTACGGCTTGTTTTTGCTTTAAGGTATAGGGTTGCATGACCACAGCATTCGTTGACAATAACGATAATCAGCAAACATGCAAAACTCATGGTTAGGATATGGCCACAATTATTGTCATGAGCATTTGAGGAATAATTGTCGGAATAGCAATGTCTAAGAGTCATGGTTTACGAGTTATGCCAATACCAACTAGCAAAGATATTCTAAAACAAGAATTGTTCAGATCTCACGGGCAGTCTTCGCCTGGATCTCCATCATCTTGCCGGCATTGGCGAGTTTGAAGACCTGGCAATGACATTTTTGACGCCAGCGAATTAGGGAGCTGAACCCCACTTCTGCAGCTGCTATTGCAGCCGAAGGCAACTTTGATAGAGATCACAGCAACTTGGCAAAAATCGCTGGATGCACCTGGTCTAGACGCTAGAGGAGACGAGCTCTTCAGTTGCACCGCCGGTTGGGGCCTCCTTGGTGATGTATACCACTCCAGGTGTGTTCCGCTGAAACCTCGGTGCAGAATATGCGAAAGGGAAATGACTTGGCTCGACCGGCCAGAACTGGAATCAAAGCTGGGGTTGCGAGTCTGCTTGAGGCCCAGGACTTCTTCTGCAGGCAGTTGAATTAATATACTCCTGGGATCCTAGGGCCCAATGGCCCAGTAGCAAGGAGAAAGACGGAAGCAGCCGTCAAAGCGCAAACAATGGCTGTGCCAAAGGCTTGACAGCGGCTACATTACATTGTGCACATAAACCCTAATTTTAAAGCCGAACTTGATGGCTGCCAGCATTGCCTCCTCTGCCGTTCTAAACCCTAAACCCTAATAGTGGGTCGCTTAGCCGCTGTACTGAAACGGGTAGGCCAAGCTATGCACAGATCCACTGTCTGCACCTCCCGCTGCTCCAACTCCTCAAAAGCCTTGCAGGGCACAACGTCGTGCGTGAGCCAACCACGTAAGAAGTGGTTTGGCATGGAAGAAGCACGTAGTTTCGACAGCTTTATACTGTGTTTGTAAATCAGAACCCAGATACATCTGCATATGCAACTTATACACAAAGGCATCTGACATGTTAATGGTATGGTATCAGTGTAATGTGTATATAATACATATCCAATACAGATCGGAAGCCACCTGGCGCAGGATGCCCAAAAACTTAGGTGACATTCGCCTCGGCCACGGCCGAAGCGGTCTGAAGTTCCAGCAGAAATTTTCTGTTCCCCTTTAAACTCTCTGACCCCCTTCTCTTAATCCCCTCTGCGGCGAGCCCCACCTCAACATCCCTCGACTACTGGCAGGGCGCGAGTTGCGAGGTCTTCTGTCCTCACCTGCCTGCCCATGCAGCTTCCGAGCCAGAATCCCCAAAACAACGAGCAACAGAATCAGCCAATCAGCTATATACAAGCTGTGAACCTGTCCTGCGCTGGGAGCGGCGTCGGCAAGCTTCCCTTGCGACGGCATGCTGGCTCAGAATGGCATGGGAGGATGGGACTTTCCTGTTGGCTGGGTGGAGGCTCACAACTACCTTTGAAAGCTCGAGAAGCGGAGAACACCAAGCAGCCGTAGCTCCTTAACGACCAGTGGGCCCGAAGCAGGCATAACAGGAAGAGTGCCGACAGCTGCACAGTTGCTGGAATCAGTAACATGAAGAGTCTTTGACGAGGCCACAAGTACTGACGGCTAAGGCACAATGCTGTGAACTGCAATGTTCTTGAGATAAACAGGCAACCGAACCAAGGTACACCTGCATGAGTATGTATGTGTGTATGTACGGATGGATGGATG